TGTCTTTGTTAATTTATAACGTTAGCTAATATTAGTCCTATTTTTCCCCTCGATATATTGACGTTTTGATATTTTACCTTTATATTTTTTAGTTTTGTATGCCCCACCTAGGGGCATTATGTTTTTCGGTCTGTGCGTCCGTTCGTCCGTCAATCCGTTCCTCCGTCCGTCCGTCCGTCCGTCTGTCTTGCTTCAGGTTAAAGTTTTTGGTCAAGGTAGTTTTTGATGAAGTTGAAGTCCAATCAACTTGAAACTAAGTACACATGTTCCCTATGATATGATCTTTCTAATTTTAATGCCAAAATAAGAGATTTAAGCCCAATTTCACGGTCCACTGAACATAGAAAATGATAGTGCGAGTGGGGCATCCGTGTACTATGGACTCACAGGTCTCGTGGTAGCGTGTTCGCTTTGAGTGCGGAAGGTCGTGGGATCGAACCTTTGCCGGTTCAAACCAAAGACTTTAAAATTGGTATTTGCTGCTTCTCCGCTAAGCACGCGGTATTAAGGAGTAAGATCAAAGACTGGTCGGCTCGGAGTCAGATGACATGTCTTCCAGCAGACTGTTACTTTGTGAACTAGCACGTTAAAGATCCGGCTCAGCGTGTCGGTCTAGTACAAAGCAGGGTAAATATTCGTATTTGCATTAACATGTTCTCGTCCTGAATATGCACAGCAATCGTTAGTCAGTGTAAGCCTCCAACTTATTTTCATAAATGAATACGATATCTATTTTCATTCAGTTGCAACGATCCCGTAAAAAGACCATGATTAAAGGGAAATTTTACACATATCTTATTGCATAACATTAAGAACGTTTTAAATGAAATAGAGCATCACAGTTGAATAATTTTTATCAATTTTTTAAACGTATTTTGTGACCATAAGTCATTAAAACATTATGTTTTTCCATGTGGACCATATCGCATATATAACACAACTAAATGAATTATCGATCTAAGTGGATATTTTGTTAGCTATAGTGAATATATTGTTATTTCAAAACAATGTGCAATAAGTTAAACACAAAATAAAAAAAAAACTACTTCATTGGGATGGACAAATGAGTTTAAAGTAATCGCAACAATCAATTTTTTTGAAAATTACCGATAGAATTGTGTCTTAAAATCTGTCGAACTTTAATATCGACCCAGCAATCGGGTTGAAAAATAGGAACATAAACATTTGGCAATCAGAAAACAAAATCGTAAAAAAAAGACAAAACTAAAAACCTGTTCAAAACACTCAAGAAAACTAAACATTGAGCATTATGAACCCCATAACATTAAACATCATGAACCCCATAACATTGAACATCATGAACCCAATACATTGACATCATGAACGCTATAACATTGATCATGAACATCATGAGATCCATGACATTAAACATGATGAACCCCATAACATTGAACATCATGAACACCATAACATTAAACATCATGAACCCCATAACATTAAACACAATGAACCCAATAACACTGAACATCATGAAACCCATACCATTAAACAACATGAACCTCAAAACATTAAAGATCATGAACCCTATAACATTGAACATCATGAACCTCATAACATTAAACATCATGAACCCCATAACATTGAACATCATGAACCCATACCATTGAACATCATGAACCCAATAACATTAAACATCATGAACCCCATGACATTGAACATCATGAACCCCATAACATTGAACATCATGAACCCAATAACTTTAAACACTATGAACCCCATAACATTTAACATCACGAACCCTATAACATTGAACATCATGAACCTCATAACACTGAACATCATGAACCCCATAACATTAAACATCATGAACCCCATAACATTAAACATCATGAATCCAATAACATTGAACATCATGAACCCCATAATTTTAAACATCATGAACCCCATAGCATTAAGCATTATGAACCCCATAACACTGAACATCATGAACCCCATAACATTAACATTATGAACCCCATAACATTGAACATCATGACCCTCATAACATTGAACATCATGAACCCTATACCATTGAACATCATGAACCCAATAACATTAAACATCATGAACCCAATAAAATTGAACATCATGAACCCAATAACATTAAACATCATGAACCCCATGACATTAAACATCATGAACCCTATAACATTGAACATCATGAACCGAATAACTTTAAACATCATGAACCCCATAAAATTAAACAGTATGAACCCCATAACATTGAACATCATGAACCTCATAACATTGAACATTATGAACCCCATACCATTGAACATCATGAACCCATAATATTGAACATCATAAACCCCATACCATTGAACATCATGAACCCAATTACATTAAACATCATGAACCCCATGACATTAAACATCATGAACCCCATAACATTGAACATAATGAACCCAATAACTTTAAACATCATGAACCCCATAACACTGAACATTATGAAATCCATAACATTAAACATCATGAACCTCATATCATTAAACATCATGAACCCAATAACATTGAACATCTTGAACCCCATAACATTGAACATCATGAACCCCATAATTTTTAACATCGTGAACCCCATAACATTGAACGTCATGAACCCCAAAACATTGAACATTATGAACCCAAACATCATGAACCCCATAACATTGAACATCATGAACTCTATACAATTGAACATGATGAACCCAATAACATTAAACATCATGAACCCCATGACATTAAACATCATAAACCCCATAACATTAAACACAATGAACCAAATAACACTGAACATCATGAAACCCATACCATTAAACAACATGAACCTCAAAACATTAAAGATCATGAACCCTATAACATTGAACATCATGAACCTCATAACATTAAACATCATGAACCCCATAACATTGAACATCATGAACCCATACCATTGAACATCATGAACCCAATAACATTAGACATCATGAACCCCATGACATTGAACATCATGAACCCCATAACATTGAACATCATGAACCCATTAACTTTAAACACTATGAACCCCATAACATTTAACATCACGAACCCCATAATATTGAACATCATGAACCTCATATCACTGAACATCATGAACCCCATAACATTAAACATCATGAACCCCATAACATTAAACATCATGAATCCAATAACATTGAACATCATGAACCCCATAATTTTAAACATCATGAACCCCATAGCATTAAGCATTATGAACCCCATAACACTGAACATCATGAACCCCATAACATTAAACATTATGAACCCCATAACATTGAACATTATGACCCTCATAACATTGAACATCATGAACCCTATACCATTGAACATCATGAACCCAATAACATTAAACATCATGAACCCAATAATATTGAACATCATGAACCCAATAACATTAAACATCATGAACCCCATGACATTAAACATCATGAACCCTATAACATTGAACATCATGAACCCCATAACATTGAACATCATGAACCTCATAACATTGAACATTATGAACCCCATACCATTGAACATCATGAACCCATAATATTGAACATCATAAACCCCATACCATTGAACATCATGAACCCAATTACATTAAACATCATGAACCCCATGACATTAAACATCATGAACCCCATAACATTGAACTTAATGAACCCAATAACTTTAAACATCATGAACCCCATAACACTGAACATTATGAAATCCATAACATTAAACATCATGAACCTCATATCATTAAACATCATGAACCCAATAACATTGAACATCTTGAACCCCATAACATTGAACATCATGAACCCCATAATTTTTAACATCGTGAACCCCATAACATTGAACGTCATGAACCCCAAAACATTGAACATTATGAACCCAAACATCATGAACCCCATAACATTGAACATCATGAACTCTATACAATTGAACATGATGAACCCAATAACATTAAACATCATGAACCCCATGACATTAAACATCATGAACCCCATAACATTGAACACCATGAACCCAATAACTTTAAATATCATGAACCCCATAACATTAAACATCATGAACCCCATAACATTGAACATCATGAACCTCATAACATTGAACATCATGTACCCCATACCATTGAACATCATGAACCCAATAACATTAAACATCATGAACGCAATAACATTGATCATCATGAATCTCATACCATTGAACATCATGAACCCAATAACATTAAACATCATGAACCCCATGACATTAAACATCATGAACCCCATAACATTGAACATCATGAACCCAATAACTTTAAACATCATGAACCCCATAATATTAAACATCATGAACCCCATAACATTGAATATCATGAACCTCATAACATTGAACATCATGAACCCCATACCATTGAACATCATGAACCCCATAACATTAAACATCATGGACTCCATACCACTGAACAGCATGAACCCGAAAACATTGAATATCATGAACCCCATAAAAAAACCTTTACTGGACTCTTTAATAGTGGGACCTTTTGTACGTACAAATACTGTTTTATGTTCCACTCTACCTCAAGTATCTATTTGTACTTTTTCAAACAATTAAGTTAATTATGTCCGTTACAAACAAATCATCAAGATACCAGGGTTATAATTTGGTATGCCAGACGCGCGTTTCGTCTACTTTAGACTCATCAGCGGAGCTCGTATCAAAACACTTTGAAGGTCAAATCAAATAGGTTGAAGAACACTTAACACAAACATTCCGAAACTTTGTGCCGAAAACGGCCAAGGCAATAGATGCCCGGGTAGACAACACCTATGTATTTCTAATAATTCAAAACATTATGAAAACTAAACAAATTAAATTCATCGCATATGAAATCAATGATTTTGATACAACTATAAAGAATCTGTGTTTGTATAAACACAATAATAAGTCAAAACTGAAACTAATCTTAGTTAACCCCATATTATTATAATAATTGTAATTTGCAACAGTATGCTATTAAGTTAGCTACTTTAAATTGTATAATAACTTACTGATATTTCTGTAACGTAATGTCGTTCCTATTATACTGTATATGAACACAAAACGATTGACATGACTTGTTCCTATTTATAATTATTTATAAAAGTTATTGCTATGATGTAATATTTCAGAAGAAAAACTTCCACATGCAGATCTGGTTTCAATGACTCAAGACTAGACTAATAACATATTGATTTCTCTGGCTTTTTTATGAGACAGTATTAAAATATTGAATTAAATGACAACTATCGTTATAAACCCATAGAAATATCACTTGTCACTTTAATGAAATCTTATGTTTGAAATTTTATGAACACAGGTTTAATTTTAGAATTACTGGTAATTGTATAAAATAGTGTAGTATTTTTGTGTCTATCAAGTTTTTAATATATGTTTTGTAATATTTTTAGTGGACCGTAAATCGTATATTATACCTCTAATGTATTACTGATCTACTGATAAATGTATAAACTGTAGTATGTAGTATGTAGTATGTAGTATGTAGTATGTAGTATGTAGTGTTGAATAGTATGCAATACGTTTCCAATCAACACATACATAAAAAATCTCCATTGCGGTAGGCCGAAGGAATTGGTCGATCATCAAATAATCGAAATAAATCAAACATTATGAAACTAATTGCTTTATAACTTTAAATATACTTTATATATAACCTTCAGTTTTTTTAATCAAGTGGACCGTAGTTCACAAACTATGCTGTTAAATGTTTCAGCTAAAGTGTGTATATTTGTATTTTATATAAATACAGTTAAACCTTCTTCAAAGGCCACCTCTTTTAAGTGAAAACCTGCCTTGTCAGGTTATGTTGTTCTTTTCCCCATGTTGTCACTTCTATGCATTCGGTCTTCAATTCAAAGCTCGCATCTTTTATAAGATCACTATTTTTGTCCTAAGTGTGACCTTTATATGCAGGTTTGACTGTAGTGTGCAATAAGTTTCGGGTCATCACAGAAAAAAAGAGCACTTCATAGAGATACATGTAGGACACAGGGGTGTATTGATCATTCAAAGTAATCGAAACAAATAAAAAATATGAGGTACAGCAAATTACCAAATTTATATCTTCTGAATAATGTTCGAATATTACTTTTATCATATTTTCCCTTCTTTTGTATCGTAAAAAAGTAAGAAGATACCAAAGGTCGATTGAAAACACTGTCGAAGATAGATTAACACTACTGTCGAAGATAGATTGACAACATGGAAAAGAGACGAAAAGATAATAAAAGTGCAGTAAAAACTACACAAATAAACTAATTTTGAGCAATATGAACATGATAAAATAGCGATTAACACATAGGTGTTTCGGAATGATAAGAAGTTGCTGTTAGTTACTATTAGGACCCGTTTTTGTGTTGACTATGACAATAAAAGCTTTATTCGGCGAAGTGTCATGATCAAGAAAGCAAGGAGTGCATACGTCAAAAACATTTTATGGTTATGATACATATATTCTATAACGAACAGCCACGTCATGATGCCACCAATCAACCTTTTCTTGTCAACTTACGTATAGTTCCTTCATCAACTATACAGAAAACATGTTATCATATTAAAATATTGTTGTATATGTAGTTGAAATATATTATACAATGATATTAACCAACCATTTCTTCCTCACTGAGTTGCTTCTATTGTAGTATATAAATGAAGTATTGTGATTGAATATTAGTTTGCATTATTTATAACTTCTTAAATCAATGATTATATTATATTTCCGAGAAAAACATATTTTTATATATATATTTTAATATAATCTTTGAAACACCAGATATGAGTGAGGCAGCAGAAAATTATTTTGATAAGGCTAATAAAACTAGTAAATACATTTGTGGATATTCTGCATTTATTATACTTTGTTCTTTAAATTTCATAAACAATACATTATTGAAAGCTGTCATGTACATTAACAATAATATCATTGTTTAAGGAAAATATACCCTACACAACTGACATCCTCAGAGATATATGTATTTCTAATAAATATAGTGCATATAGTATGTATACGACAAGCAATAAGATCGACAATCACCGTAACGTTAAACACTTCAAACAATCATACCATTTGTTGTTAATCGCAGAAATACAATTTTTTATTAAAGGAAGAAATTATACAAACATATCATGCAAACTGAAGATATAGGAATATCAATATTATGAGTCCAATTTTCTTTTTTATAAAGCCATTTGACATACGATACAATGATGTCTGCTGTTTGTTGGACTTTCATTTGGTTGTATTATACTTTTTTCTTCTTTTTCTTATCATCACTCTGTTCATTCTTCCGTGCATACTCAAACAGTGTTTCGTTTCGTTTTTACTTTTATGTCATTTTAAATGAAAAATTCCATATCTACCGTGATATTCATTTCAGGAAAAAAATAAGCATGCTACCATATTATTTTTTTATTTTAGATTTTCTATTATTCCCTAATCCTTATGACATTTGTGCTGGTCTTAAGAGGTTGCATTAAATAGTACTGTACTTTGCTTCGGAACCCCATTCAAAGCGTTTTCACTGACTTTATTTAAAAAAAAAAAACCTGGTAGGATACATGCAAAAAATATCTCGAAAACATTCTGCTATCTACATTCGGGCATATTTTAGCGGGTCTAAATAATTCCATACCCTGTGTTTAACAATAACAATGAAATGTTTTAATTTCGATTTACCCTCTTGCTGCTAAAATACAATCTGTTGGCTACATAAACACTTTGTTAATTGTGCAAAAAGAAATTGGTCTATTGTTTATATTTCAGAACTCTGAGGCGCCTTTGGTGTCAAAACGGCATCAAATTGGATACGTTGAAGCTATAAGATATGACAAAAGAGATAACAGATGGCAAAGGTCAATAAGAAAGTGAATTATTTCTACTACAAGTTAAACGAACATTTCTAATAGATGATCAAAAGAAACGCCAAAGCATAATACCTGCATTATCTAATCTTATCTAGAGACGATATATTTAACTTCCATACATTATGGTAAGAATGAAATAGTAAAATATTGTTTTTAACTTACAACACAGAAGTTTCTTCTAGAATACAAGAATTGAAACATTACAACATCGTACTCTGCTGACCACGATATGATTAAAAGTTTTTTGTATTTCATTGAAAATAAAAATCATTGAGCAAAATTACCCAACAAATAAGCTACAGTAGAAATGTTTTTCTTCTTCATCATACGACACAGAAGAAAGATATATGCGATCTGTCAAGTCTTATGTCAATATTTGCAAGTGTATTTGGATTTTTGCGGGAGGCGTCCTTCGAACGATGAAAGTGGAATTTTCCGAAATATATGAGGCTACAAATGTTGAATTACACTTCTGGAACATCTGAGAATTTTGGTCCGAACACAGACGGTAAACATATCCATTGTAGTTATCATGAAAATATTCCAACATGCATTATGAAAGTCACTCATTACAAAATCTAAGAAAAATTACATTTCCTGATCGTTTTGAAACTGTTAATTGAAATACGTTTTGATGGGAAACAATATAATTGAATTAAAGGAAAAGTAGTTTATCAAAGTTTAAATCTCATAAATCCATTAACAACCTGCAAAGAAAGATAAGAAAAACCAAGGAAATGCCTGAACTTCATAAGGAGCGATAACTAGGGCTTCGACAGGTTTAAAGAGAGGAGGAAGATACTAAAGTCGATTATAAATTGACAACGCCATGACAAAAAAATGAAAAACGACCAAAGACAAACAACAGTATACAAAACAAAACATAGAAAGCTTAAAACTGTGCAATACGAATCCCATCAAAAACCGGTGTGATCTGATGTATTCAAAAAGGGTTAGCGAATCCTGTTCAATATATGACATCAGTTTTGTCACTCTTATAAAATAAATTGTTCCTTTATATTGTGATCAGGTATCCACAATAGCGGATTTGTAATTGCTTCATATCTAACCCTTTGTGCTTGCCAAATTTGTAAACTATCGGGTATGTAAATTTTATGACACAGACCTTGACCAAGTGTGCAATTTTGAAGTTAAAACACGTTTTTATAATAAAAAATAAACAAGACTAACCGGTATAAACAACTAAACAATATAACAAAAGGCACAAAGAACAACACTTAAAACTAAAGCAAGAGCAACACCAACATCTTTAAAACAAAAATAGGGGTGATCACATGTGCTCTAGAAAGGTAAGCGGATCCTGTTCCACTTGGGGCATCCTTCGCATTGCTGATGAAAGTGCAAACTCGGCGATAAGTGTAATTCGATGATGTAACATACGTGGAACGGGTTATGATTACAACAAAAACACTGTAAGTCAATAGATTGTTTGGAAGTGTAATGCAGAGTGTCGAAAAGTAAGAACTGTCAACAGAATTGAAAGAACCACCAGAAGCACTTTACTTATTTAAAACATCCAAATAGTTTTTTTTCTCTCTCCAAAAAAAAAGTTTGCTGAGATATATAAGATTCTAGCACTCACTGAAATGAAATCTGGGTTAATGAGTTACAAGACATCGTCATTATATTTGAAAATGAAATTAAAGAACGTGGAAACCTGTGTTTTTGTCTTTAAGAAGATTTTTATGAATTCTGCTTCATATGAAAAAAAAATATCTATCAGTCAACCAGTTGTCAACCAGTTGGAATGTACAGTTAGTATATATATCAGTCAACCAGTTGGAATGTACAGTTAGTATATCTATCAGTCAACCAGTTGGAATGTACAGTTAGTATATCTATCAGTCAACCAGTTGGAATGTACAGTTAGTATATATATCAGTCAACCAGTTGGAATGTACAGTTAGTATATATATCAGTCAACCAGTTGGAATGTACAGTTAGTATATATATCAGTTAACCAGTTGGAATGTACAGTTAGTATATATATCAGTCAACCAGTTGGAATGTACAGTTAGTATATATATCAGTCAACCAGTTGGAATGTACAGTTAGTATATATATCAGTCAACCAGTTGGAATGTACAGTTAGTATATATATATCAGTCAACCAGTTGGAATGTACAGTTAGTATATATATCAGTCAACCAGTTGGAATGTACAGTTAGTATATATATCAGTCAACCAGTTGGAATGTACAGTTAGTATATATATCAGTCAACCAGTTGGAATGTACAGTTAGTATATATATCAGTCAACCAGTTGGAATGT